CAACTCCAGAAGATATGGAAAATCCTAAAGCCTACAGTATTGAGAATGCCAGAAGAAAAAGAGAACATAACAAGTTAATGAAAGAAGTGGGAGAGTAAAGGCTGGAAAGAGAGAACTCAAAGCTTTAAGGAATAAATTTTGGAAACTTCTAGAAATGAATGAAGAATTACCAAAGCATATGCAGTTTAAATGAACAGATCAATTATAGAAAAAAAAGAATCAATTATCAGAAAAAGGGAAGAAATTCTACCTAAAACCCTAAGAGAAATTATGGTGAAAAATCAAATTGAGAAAAGGAAGAAACATATTAAAACCTGAAAGGGGCCCAACTTAAGATTCAGCAGTGAAAAAAAAGAATGGAAGGAACTGTACAAGAGTAAACCTGATGATGACTATGAAGATTCCCAAGATGCTGAAGCCATCAGAGAGACCAGTTGTATATGGGAGACTTAAATCTGAAGACAGCCTTATACTATAAGATACCTCAGCATATGAGAATAAATGCCATGAAGAAGAAAGAGAAACTGGGACACCTAGACCCCATGGCCCATTCAAAGAAAATGCACATGAACAGGTACATTCTCTCTCTTTAAGACCTCACTGTGGCTGTCATCAAGGAAATACAGTGCCTGGTACAAGAACTGAAGAGCATTCAGTTGATTCTTCACATATCCAAGCATATCCCTATTCCCCAAATCCCCCCAGATATACCCAGAAGTTCCAGAAAAGAGATTTCAGTATGATGAGGAAACTCTCCTAGTTTTAAGCAACAGCGGACAAAGAGTCAGGATGAAAAGTCAGGGTCTTGCAGGCTCTCAGATTCTCTTCTGGAAAGGACAGTGATCTGATGACATGAGATTCATCGTCTAGATCATCAACGGCATCAACACTCAGCCTAGATACTCCAAAGTTAATGGAATTTGAAAAAGCAGATCCAACTGATGTAAAGCTGGAGATTACAAAAAGGGATGACATTAAACACTTATACATGCAACAGTATTTGACCAACAGGATCAAAGAACTGTCGTTTTTGATGCAGAACTCTATCTCCCAAGGCATCAGAAACTAAAACTAGATACTCAAATGAAATGATCTGACCTGCACCATGTCACATTATTTCAAAAAATGCTTCTCCTTGAGAATTTTGAAAAACAGGAGAATGTACTTCAAGAGCACATAATTCAGGAGGCAGAGAGGAACTGGACTTGCAATGGAAAATAAATGAAACTCTTAAAGAGATGGAAGAGAAAAAGAATGAAATTGCCAAGCTCCAGGACCAAGAAAAGTCACTCTATATGGGCTTCCAAGCTGCCATTGGAGAAAACAATAAATTTGCTAATTTCCTCATGAAAGTCTTAAAAGAGTAGTAAGTGGATGAAGAAAAAGGAGGTTGAATGAGATGCTGATGAAGTTGAAGATAATGATGAATCAAGTGAAGAAGAATCCGGCTGGGAGAGTGATGAGGATGCATATGAATCTCATAATAAGGTTTTTGATGATATTATTTGCCCAACAAATTGTGATATGGGTCTTTTTGAACTGGCCCTTCAACTCTGATAGAACAGGATGGACACTGAGGAGGCCTTAGTTGAAGGAAAGAAAATTACCAATAACCTCAAAAAGAAATATGATGCACTATCCAAAAAAGTAAAAATTGTGACAAATAACCTGAATGCAGCAAAGGAGGCCCTAGAGGTTTACCAATGAGAGACACAGCAGTGGCTGAATGAACTGCTGGTTATGATTCCACTCAAGCTCCACCGGATAGATCATGTAGTATTTGGAGAAATACCTAATGATCTTTCTGGAACCTTGGTCTTTTCTAACCATTCCTTGGGAAGGCTGCAAGAACAAACTGTACAACTCCATGAGGAAAATTCCAAGCAACAAAAACTTAACAAAGAATGTTGGAAGAGGTGTAAACAGCTTATCTGAGAAAAGAGAGAGATGGTAAAAAGAATAAGCAAAATGGAAGAAACAACTAATGATCAGCAAGTTTAGCTGTGGGATGGACCTAGAAACCCTTCAGACAGTTTCTGTGAACACATTTGAAGAGCTAAAGATCAAGAAACTTTGAAAGGAATTATTGAATGCAAAGGAAGATGTAATAGGAAAAGCTTGCTCAAGTGCAATGGGAGCTGATGACAAAGACAAAAAAGCACACCCAAAGCTTCATCAGACAAATGATTTATGTATCAAAAAGAGGAAACTTGATTCTTGGTTGAATACACTCCAAAACCAGCAGGGCAATGGCTTCCAGGGCCCTAGGAAAGCAGATATATATTGTGGCAAGAGAGAAGGTCAGAGAACTGATCCAAGTTCAGGCAGAAAAGAGAAAGAGTTGTTCTTTTGCATCAGAAAGGTGGTCTTACCCTCTCACCCATTCAGCCTCTGCAAGAGAGTAAGATGAAGCCCATGCACGGGCCTTTAAGTTTGCTTTTTTCTCAAATCCATCCAAGATTTCTGACATATAACTGATCAGAAGTTCTGTTTCCTTGCCACATGCCACAATCCTATTTTTTTGAAGTGAACTTACCTAAAACCAGTCTAAAACCAGATCCAGTCATATAGTTTTAATAATTTTTCTCCAATTTGGTTATCTTAGAACTGACTGTAGCACCCAACATCAATTTCCGATTGAACTGAACCCTTTTAGATCCATTTGGAACCCACTGGATTGAATATGGAGTCTCAGAAAGCTGTATCTCAAAACTGCAAGAAAGTATTTGTAATATATCATGTTTTAAGAAATTTGTCTCTTGGTTATCTGAATGTTTAGCCATTGGCAAGACAAACTATCATTTAGCAATCTGTGAGAAAACTTGGCTTTTTCTAATCCTTGGAAAATAAACTTTGATGTTAAATATTCTCTGAGAGGACAAAAAAGAAAACCACAATCCCAAGGGAGAGGAAGTGAATGAAAACTTGGACAAAGTAGCCGTCAAAAGAGAAAGGGACAAACCAGGGGTATAGGCCAAGCAGCCCTAATTCCTTAGAGTTGGTAATTTGTGGCTGAAGATGGATTTAGGTCCATCAGAGAGACATATTGAATACCTGCAAAACGATGCAGCAGAACTCATCTTTGTGAGAAATAAGACACAGAGGAATACGTTTCCTTGGTATCTACTGGGTTGACAGAATAATCTCATCTCATTGGAGACTAAAAATTGAGAGAATAATGAGACTCTCTGGAATTGTGGGGCCAGGTTAGAGAACTTTGACCTGAGCTGGAAAGGGCTAAATTAGAGAATACAGGGTTGAGGAGATAAGCTGAAGTAAAAATAATATGCTCTCTGAGCAGTTATGTTATTTATATACTATATGCTTTACGTATATTATCTAATTTCATTCTTAAAACAATGCAATGAAGTACTAGTATTATGTCGACTTTACAGAGAATGAAACAAATTATGTAACTATTCTTTAATTGAACATTTATTCCCTGTTTTTTTCTATGCTGAATTAAACATTCATTTTATATTCTTAAAAAGAAAAGCACAAACATTCTGCCAACAATATCTTAGAACAAGAAATGCAAATTAGAATTCTGACATTGTTAACTTCGCAGAGCAGTTATTTGAGGGCTCAGGATGCAAGACATGCAGACAGACAGCAGTTTGCTTTGGACTGGCAGAAAGCAGGAGACTATCCAGTTTCCTGAGTCACCTCTGGTTTCAGCAAACTCCTCAGCTCTGAATGGAGCAGAGGAGTGTGTTTTAACAAAATGGTCAATAAGGAGGCTTTTCTCTGAAGAGGTTTGCAGCTCTACTAGTATGCTAAGTATTCCCATAGTTTCTCATGTCCTATGTCATCTTCTTTCAGGTTCTAGTCGAGTCATTTGCTGTTTTTATTTTTTATTTTTTTTATTTGACAGAGAGAGAGAGAGCAAGCACAAGCAGGGGGAGTGGCAGAGGGAGAGGGAGAAACAGACTCCCCACTGATCAGGGAGCCTGACACGGGGCTGGATCCCTGGATCCCAGGACTCCAGGATCATGACCTGAGCTGACGGCAGGTGCTGAGCCACCTGAGCCACCCAGGTGCCCCTCTTTTGCTGTTTTTAATACAGATCTAGAAGTAATGATAGGTTACATCACTCTGAGAGATCATCTCTAACAATCACTTTTGATTGTGCATAACATTTTAAACTAATTTGAGAGTGTCGTTTTCATTTCAGGGTAAGTGGTCGTGGGAATTCCTGGCTATACCCACCTAAGAATGATCTCACTGATACTTGGATTCCTATTAGTAATAGAACATAGCACTTTAGATTCAGAGCTCTATGAGTACATATTAATGAGCCACTCCACTGAGCTGTCCTAGAATATAAATTGATTACTGAGAAGGAAAGGTGAAGAAGGCAATATAGCATCAATGTAGAAAGTGATTCAGCAATGTCAAGTCTTCCTAACCTGATGAGGCTGCTGATCTGTCCCCCAAATTATATAGGATTTTGTTTCCTTTCAAAGATTCTTTAATATTCCTATTTAAGAGGTCTGAATAGTTTGTACCTATTACTATAAATCTCTGGTGTAGTAGCTTCTCTATTGGAGAACATTTACCACTTTCTCTGCTATATGCTCTAAACTCTGTTTGCCTTTCAAGCACTTAAAAAAAAGTCATAAAAAGTAATAATAAATAAATAAATACACATTAAATTCAATGTGTATTTCTGTGTGCATATGTGTGTGTTTCTGTGTGTCTGTGTTCAAGTATGTATTTGTTCTCTGGGTCACAATATAAAATGTATTTCTTACTAAGAGTCATGGTCAAAAAGTATTTGAAAGGCACAATCAAGAACACTTCTTTCTACTCTCACCTCTCACACACCAAAGTCTTTGCAGCTATGATTAAATTAAGGATTTTGAGATGGGGAGATTATCCTGGATTATAGAATTGGACCCTAAATGCAACTATATGTATCCTTCAAAAGGAAGAGGAGATTCTACACACAAAGAAAGCCAATGTGAAGACAGAGTAGAGAGTGATTTCAAGATACTGACCTTCCTTGAAAATTGAAGTGATGCAGTCACAAGTCAAGGAATGCTGGCAGTCATCAGAAGCTAGAAGAAGCAAGGAATGATTATCCATTCATCAGTTGATGGAAATTTCAAAAGATTACTTTTATAGCTTCTTTCCATGTCCTTAGTGGGAAGGGAAAAGATTACCAGACTTACATCCATGAGTGAGGTATCATGAGAATTGAGAGGGCCTCCCGCACACCAATTTGTACTTCAACATGCCTCATAATAATGGCCAACACACTGAGTGATAATTACATGCAGAGCAGACCATGTACATAATTCTCTATCCTCACAAAAATTTGGTGAGGTAGTCATCATTACCCTTGTTTTACAAATGAGAAAATTCAGAGTGAGAAATAACTTATCTAAAATCATACAACTAGTGACAGAACTAGGTTGTACAGCTACTTTGACTTGCCTCCAAAAACAGAGCCTTGTCCACTTAAAGTGTCTCCCTATATTACCTATCCCTAGTTTCCTGAGACTGGGCTTCTGTATGTTAACCTGTTCCTCAAGCAACCTATATGCTGTAGTTTGTACATACCAAAAATATACATAATAGAAAATTCTTTATATAATACATGAGAAATTTTGGTTGACAATAAATTACATTACAAAAATCTCAGGGCTAGATGAATTCTTAAGGATCCAAATGCAGAATCTTTTTACAGATGGGGAAAACAAGGCCAACAAAGTTGCATACTTGTCTAATATGCAACCAGCTCATCAAAGCAGAATTTCATTGCAATGTAAACCGATTTCTAGTACTTCATAAGTTCTAAGTGGAAAGTAACTCCAAACTTACTTGATCAAACATTGTAAAACTTCCATTACTGTCTCCATTACTTTCCTCTTCTCAAGCATTTATGGAGGGATATATAAAACTGATGCCCTGTAATGGCAAAACCAAACCTTAGTTTTTGAGGAGAGGAAGAGAAATTTTAAATAGCATTTTTCAGTTGGGATTTGGGGAATCCCAGGATCAGAGTATTAACTGACTTTGAAGTGATAATTCCGTTCTACAAAACAAAACCCCAAATATTTATACAAGGTCAAATCACAAATTAAAATAATTATTTTAAATAAGAAAATGCTACCGAGCACCCCTGAAACACAATTTGGCTTGTTGTTTTGGTTTTCTGGGACATATTCTCATTTGCTATACTGGCTTGCTGCGTATTTATTTGGCTTCAAGGTGGAACTGTTACGGCATTTTTAAGGATATTCATTACCCTTGACAGTTAAAAACAAAATGAAAGGCGAATGGACTTGCTGAAAAATGGGGTGGGGCGGGTGTTCTGAGTAAGGCTACACAGTATTTGTTCTCGCCCTTCTGCACCAATACCTTTCCCCACAGGAATTTCCAAGCACCTTCGGCCCGGTAGCAAAGGGCAAAACACAGAGAAGCCCCAGCTCTGAGCCCAAGCAAGGAGGCAATCCGCCCACCCATCAACCAATCTAAAGTCGTGTTCTGCACCTGCCCACTGCTTGAGCGACCTTTTCCCTCTGGCCCACTGCGTCCCCTTTTACGACAGTTTTCCGACCTATTTGCGGCGGCTACTGCCGTATTTCCTGGGGCGTCCGTATCTGGGCGGTTTGTGTCCGCTGGTGGTGGCCGCATCGGTGTCTGGTGGAGGAGTGGGAGTTGGTGGCTGCGGCCTTTGGGCTGGGATGAACCGCGCTCTCGGTGGAGGCCGGGGAGCCGAGCCAGAGCCATGGTGAGTGCGGCCTTCTGGTCTCCCTAGCGATCTCGGGTCCAGGCCTCAATCTCAAGTTGCGACCTCGGAGCAGGGGAGCCGAGGTTGTCTCCCCATTGCGACTCTGGGCTGGAGATACAGGGCCGCAGAGAGCCACGCTCTCCAGGACACAAGAGCTGTTGGCTCAACTCTCGAGGGCCTTTATGTTCTCATATGGCCCTTCTACAGGGGGTTGCAGTCCCTGGTTCGTCGTCCCCGAGGCTCAGTGATTAGTGGAAACGCATTTGATTATACCTGCCCTTCCTCTGATACAGCCTCACAGTACCTTCTCTACTTTGCTGTACCCTTCCCCTTGGCTTTTGCCGACACATCTTTTCCTGAATACATTTGGAGCCTCTGTACAGTGACCGTGAGACGCCACAGTGCCGAAGGCGCTGGGAAAAGCTATTCTTCTCGTTAAGCCCACGTGTAACGTTGAAACGTGTTGTCAGAATTCTGCAGTGACTTTAAATAGTTCTTTCTCTAGCAGAAACTTTATTTCCATTGTTCTTGATTGAACATTAATGTGGTTTCATTTGCCCGGAGGTGAGAGGTTTTCAAAGGGAGGGTAATCTTTTTCACTGTTGTAGAAGTAAATTAAGCAAATCCACTCGCTCTTGTCTTTCACAGTGAAAATCCCATACCTTTACGAGGAATTGGAGATAAAAGCTGCAGTTAAAGGATCATGGGCAGACTATTTACTTCCTAAAAGTTGTTTCTCCTTTTGAAATAAAACTTGTAATGAGTTTGGGATGGGACAATAGGTACCATGGGGAAGGGTGAGAATTCGAGAAGTAAACTATTTACTCTGCTTCCCCTTACCAGGCCAGTACAGTGGTAGCAGTTGGACTGACCATTGCTGCTGCAGGATTTGCAGGTTTGTTTATGGTTTGGGAGTGGAAGTGAAGTAGGGGAGGTTGGAGATTGCTTAATTAGTTTATTGCTTTTGTTTTTAGGCCGTTATGTTTTGCAAGCCATGAAACATATGGAGCCGCAAGTAAAACAAGTTTTTCAGAGTCTACCAAAATCTGTAAGACTTACTAAACATTTTTGCTAATTCTCATTCCTGTATATGAAGCCTAGAGTCACACTTGAAGAGGGTAAATTTCCAAACATCCGTGGAGTTTTGAGAGATTGCTTTGGGCCCCTTCTCTTCCTTCCCACAAAGAGGGTTTTCTTAGAAGTTCTGAGCTTTGTAATATTGTTAACCCTAAAAAAATGTTTTGTATGACAGAATTGGGGTATTAACACAATTCTAGCATCATGAAAATTATATCACTTTATTGTTTAGATACTGTTAACTTCAGCAGCATTTGTCCAAATTCTTGCCTTCCCTTATCTGCTCTGCATGACAAACACGGAGAGATCTAGGGGTCTGAAGTGATCCATTCTTAACTGTGTGGCCCTGGCACTCCCTAATAAGATTCTTGGGTAGCACTGGAGTTAAGTAGGCTATAGAGTATGAGTGGATGTGATGTTTGGCTGTAACAGCTTGTTCAGTATTTATTTTTACTGTTGTGATTGAATGTGACAGAATAGGGTGACGGTAGATTTTACTAATATCATCTCTGACATAACAAGGTCAGAGGACCTGGTAGCCTGATTTTCTCAATACATATCTTGTCTTGTTTTAGTAGTTACCTTTACCCTCAAAATACCCTTGAACCACTCATTTGAAAGGATCTCCAAATCCTTTTCTTAAAGCACTTGTTTTTCTAACATATATTCTTAGATCAAATTTTTTAAATTATATTTTAAAGACTTAGAGAGAGCATGAGACGGGGGGAGGGTCAGAGGGAGCAGCAGACTCCCCAGTGAGCAGGGAGCCTGATGTGGGGCTCCATCCCGGGACTCTGGGATCATGACCTGAGCCAAAGGCAGATGCTTAACCGACTGAGCCCCCAGGCGCCCCTCTTAGATCAAATTTTATCTATAACATAGCTAACATGGAATAATCTTCCCTTTATTCCAAGAACTGGCTTTGAGGCACTGTTCTTTTGTCTTATATTTTTAAGATAGTTTTTCTGAGGGGAAAAAATGGATGTTTAATGATCATTAAAATATTCGTTGCTACTTATAAAGCTAAAATGCGGTAAGAGTTGCAGTTAAGGTTCTCTGAAATGTCTTAATTTTTCTATGAACATTTTCAACACTTTTTTAGCAATTTTCAGTTTATTCTAATAATCTATTTTTACGGATGCATTTCCTCTTTCAGGCCTTCAGTGGTGGCTATTATAGAGGTGGGTTTGAACCCAAAATGACAAAACGAGAAGCAGCATTAATACTAGGCGTAAGGTAAATAATTTCTAATATTTGTAACATTTTTGTACAACTCTTAGAGCTATGAGCAAATGTAGAAAGACCTTTTATTAAAACTTATAATAGTGTTACATACATTGTAAGATCTAAACACTCCCTACAAAAGTACATTGAGAAGGCACACTGGCACATAAGCACTTTTTAATTCACTGAAAGATAGGCTTTTAAACCGACAGTTGCAGCGCTCAATGTTGTTCTCTATAGCATTTTTTGTAGTGAAATTCTCCACTTCCAGATAGTTAAACATGCTTTCCCTTTCAGTAAAAGGACTTTTATGATTATGAAGTTCAAATAATTTTAATATTTGAGAGCGAGCAAGCGAGCATGAGTGGTGGGAGGAGCAGAGGGAGAGGGAGCAGCAGACTCCGTGCTGAGCTCAGAGCCCAAAGCGGCTCTATCCCAGGACCCCAAAATCATGACCTGAACCAAAATCGAGAGTCAGACACTTAACCAACTGAGCCACCCAGGTGCCCCTCAACTAATTTTTTATGAATGCCTTTATGGGGTGCCTGGGTGGCTCAGTCAGTCAAGTGTCTGCCTTCGGCTCAGGTCATCATTGAGCCCCATGTCAGGCTCCCTGCTCGGCGGGGAGTCTGCTTCTTCCTCTTCCTTTCCTCCTCCCCCTTACCCCCAATTGTGCTCTCTCATGCTCTCAAATAAAATCTTAAAAAAAAAAGGGGGGGCGCCTGGGTGGCTCAGTCGTTAAGCGTCTGCCTTCGGCTCAGGTCATGGTCCCAGGGTCCTGGGATCAAGCCCCGCATCGGGCTCCCTGCTTGGCGGGAAGCCTGCTTCTCCCTCTCTCACTCCCCCTGCTTGTGTTCCTGCTGTTGCTATCTCTCTCTGTCAAATAAATAAAATCTTAAAAAAAAAAAAAAAAAGGAAGGGGCGCCTGCGTGGCTCAGTCGGTTAAGCGGCTGCCTTCGGCTCAGGTCATGATCCCAGGGTGCTGGGATCGAGTCCCGCATCGGGCTCCTTGCTCAGCAGGGAGCCTGCTTCTCCCTCTGCCTGCCTGCCACTCCCCCTGCTTATGCTCGCTCACTCTGTGTCAAATAAATAAATAAGGAGCTATTTAGTTCCCTGATTCAGAAGATTCATCATCCTTGTATGTTAGGGAAGAGGTTCCTAAACCACTTTCCATATTGTTGTGTTGACTTGACTCCAGTTTCACAATATCTTTAATTAGCCTTTATGTACAATTTTTTGATATGATCCAGAAGTAAACTCCACCTTTTTCTTTTTAAACTAGCCCTACTGCCAATAAAGGAAAAATAAGAGATGCTCATCGACGAATTATGCTTTTAAACCACCCAGACAAGGGTAAGTAGCCATTAAATTCTTCTTGTACAGGTTTTTAAATCACTAATTGTTACTAGTGGAATAATTTCATACTTAATTCTTGGCTATTTCAAGGGAAATGCCTAAATCTGTGTGGGTGGGAGCACTGTTGCCCAGGCTGGATCCATCCATTTTCCAATGTCTTAAAAGAATAAATCCTGAATGAAAAATTTATAGAATAAGTTTATCTAGTAACTACTGTAATTTGAAAGTGGTGATAACATTACCATTTTCAGATCTGCAGTAGTGATAAATGTGACTTCTAGTCTAAATACCATCAATACTGTTTTGGTGGCGGGGGGGGGGTCTATATTATTAAAGGAAATGTTAAGTTTCAGTTAAGGAAACTAAAAATTTAATTTTTTCTATCCATTATCCACTTCTATCTGTATCTAGAAACCTGTAAGATTTGTTTCTATTTCTAAGCAGACTTGACTGTGCTGAAAGCAAATAATTACTAGGAATACCAAAATATAGATCCCAAAATCCTTGTTCCACTGCTCAAAAACGAATAGGCCCTTTTAAGAATGTTTTGATTTTAAACAGGGCTGTGATTGTTTGGTACTGGACTGTAGTAGCCTCCTTTACAAAATTTAGCTTCTATTTTTGAAGGGCTTCTGATTCATTAAGTGTAGTATGGAGCCTATAAAGGTGTATTTTCTTATTGGGATGTTGATGCTTGCTGCTCTGAGAACTACATTTTGAGAATCAGTGCTCCAGAGGAGTAACAGGAAAGCACCCAATATTATGAAGGCACAATTAGTAACAGGAAAAGAGAAAAACTGTGGAGGACAGAAAAAGAGTACAAATCATAGTGGGGGGTCTTTCCAACAAAGCTCAGAAACCTCTGAGAACAAATTTTCAAAGTAACATAGTACAATAAATTCATGTTCATGTATGACATAATCATCATAAATAGTAACACTATTTCAAGGTCACATATGTAGGGGTTTTTTAATCCTATTTCTATCAGTTTAAGTCTTTAAAGGTGCCATTTTTGTGGAAATCTTCATGTGAATTACTTCATTTCCCATTGGTGAAAGATACTACCATACATTTGGTCATCTGTTTGCTGTGTCATAGTTATTTTAAAAAGTCAAAATGCCGTTTCTGCTAATTCCACCTCTCAGATAAGCAATAGGAATCCTTTAAACGAGAATGTTCACCAAGCAGAAATTGAGAAGCCGTATTATAACTATTCCTTTTTTCTTTCTTCCTATAGGAGGATCTCCTTATATAGCAGCCAAAATCAATGAAGCTAAAGATTTACTAGAAGGTCAAGCTAAAAAATGAAGTAAATGTGTGATGAATTTTAAGTTGTTAGTTTATGTATACAAGTGCTAGCTTTTTATAATAAAATGCCTCAAAGCTACAAATTTTAAGAATGATTTGGCACAAACTAAACCAAAGCTTTGGTAGAAGTTTCTTTGAATGTGAGGATTTTAAATGAGATTATAGAATATTTGGAGATTTAACATTCAGTAATTATAGATACCACTTGAATAGAAATTAGACCGTCTCTGGCTTTGAAGGAGCCCCCAATCTAATGGGATAGTGAAAAATTGGTAATTAAAATACAATGTGATATTAGGATGAAATTTGCATAGGTTGTTATAGGAGGGATTCATCCTATTGGGAGAAAAGGCCGCTCAAAGTTGAGAAAACCAACCCCACTGCTTGGAACCTCAAATTTTAAAAGTGAGTTTAGCCACAACTTTGATCTAAGAAATATATCTAATTATATGTATATAATTGGCAGAATTTAGATTTCATACATTAAAAATTGTTAACCGCATAAGGTTTGACAGTAGAGGTCTTGTTTTTAGTCAAGAAGTATTTACAATGTATTGAACTAGCCACTAGCCACTTAAAGAAACAAAGTTTATAAATTATTGGGGGTTTTTTATGTAGTAAGTTTTTGCATTTGTTATGACCAAGCTTAAACACAATTAGCAAAACTAAAAACTGAAATGCTCTCATTTATGGAAAATACCCAGCATGGACTATTGGAGAATTTATAAACTCATATATTTAAATAACGTTTATGGGTAAATTGGCTTATTATAATTGGTCTAACATAAAATATAGAAGGATCTTAACTAGAGGACCTGTAAAAACATCTGAAGTCAAAGTCTGTGGCCACCAGCAGGAATGTTATCTTTAGCTGTAAGATGATAAAGTATACTACCTACTTTACATCATCTTAAAAGTTCTCTAATTAATGGAGAACACAAGACTTTCAAGGTCCGTTAAGATCAAAATAGTGGCGGCAATCCTGTTTGGTGTAGGAATGTGTTTACTGGCACTTCAGATTTGGGTTAGATCTGCTCTTTATTTTCCTGTTTCCTTAAAATCTGATCAAGTCTACTTGTTATGATTTAGAGTAGGAGAAAGCACCAGCTTAAGGCAGCCATGGCTTTTATGTAAGATAAATCTTTTTAGTTATTTCTAGGGAGAAGGGATATGAAGGTACACTTTGTTATTCAAAGTAGTAATGTTCTATGAAGTTACTGAAAACACTGAAATCAGAGAATACTGAACCATGTGTTCATAGGGGAAATAAAGGTTCCTCTGACCCTCTGGGTCATGTTTTTATCAACCAGTCAATATATAACCTTGTTTTATATATATGTGTTTCTATTTAAAGACCTTAATGTTGTTGATTCATTAACGTTAAACTTGCAACCAACACTAACTCCTGTCGTTACATTACAGCCTTCTTGTGTTTAGGAACATTAGGCGGCACTTCACTAGGCTTGAGGGCTCTCTTAAACAGGAAAATCACCAGTAAGCACAAAAATATGAAAAACTCAGCATTACCTGGACCACAGAAGAAATGCTTATTTACAGTATGGTAACTGAAACAAGGCAAGCATCACTTTGGGTGTTGGGTGATTGTCAATTTGCTAACAAGGAATCTGCTAATAATGAGGATCAGCTATTTTGGCTTACTAATGTTTTGTTTCAGTCTTTTGGACTAATCAAAAGTTTCCTTAAGAGATTATCAATTGTAAGTTAAAAGCAAATTTTTGAAAGACAAATAGGAAATATGAGCTAATATGCCCAGAGACCATCAAGCATTGGCCCTAGAAGGGAAAACTTCGTGTAGTGGGTAGATTTTCAGGTGTTTAATGCAAATAGCACACCTGTTTTAAGACAACTATTAAGATAATGAAAAATGCTTTTCAAATAACACTAAGGAGAACAGAGCACATTTTTCAGTAATCAGTTTTATTTCCTCTAGGCTTACCTTTAAGTAGAAGAATCCACATTTCATTGTAGATTATGAACCAAACCTACCATTTTTCTTGGGAAAGTCACCTGTGTGAGGGCTCCAGATCACAGTTGGTAACTGGCGCAAGTATGATCTGTGTAAGAGAGCCTTCATCTTTACATGTTTTTTAACAAAATAGTTGATGTGTAATGGTAACATTTATTGGCTACTTACAGTATACTAGCATTGTGCTTAAGTAAGCATTTAAGTATGTTTTACAAGTAAGGAAACAATAGTGAAGTAATGCCCAAAACAATATTCTGGGTGAGAAGGCTGATCTTTCTTAAACCTAAAGTCCATGCTGTTAACCTGTGATAACCTATCACAAATCTGATAACCAAGCATGTTTTCCTGGGTGGTAATGAATGCTCAAGTCTGACAGCTGTCATTACACCTTTAGCCTGGGGCCTTTTTATCAGTAGGTACTCAGACTTTTTTCTTCTTCAAGGGGGAGGAAGGTATGCACACAACACTGAGAGATAGGAGATGCAGGTTTCAAGTCAAACTTGGGCAGTAATAGCCAGGCAACTTTGAGTACACTACATTGTTAGGCCTCTGCCTCCCCATCTGTTAATGGCCAACTTAAAAAAGAAAAAAAAAAGTTGATGGTTCCTCCATATTTTATGGGTAGGGAAACAAAAAGAGCAAATTATTTCAGAGGTTACACAGCTAATGAAACTGTTAAGCAAGCCCTGGGGGGTCTTCTCCAATTTATTCTGTTCATTTGTAACATGGTTCTCTCTATATTAGTCCTGAATTATTTAGGTAGGTTATGGGGAATTCCTATCCACAGCCTTAATGTTAGATCTGGCATACCAGAGATTTAGTTACCCTACTTTGTCCCTTCCATTTTGCCTTCACTGCCTCTGGGTTGACATTACTATGAGTCCTGTGCTGCTTTGTAAAAACTGCTTTGCTGGTGATAAAAGTGGGCTATAATGAATGGTCCTGGAAGTTAAATCTTTTCCCACTCTTAGAATTTTAGGAAAATTCTCTTGCCTTCAACTGTTTTCCAAATGATGGGAATACCTATGGAAGCATTTAAAAAAAAAAAAAAAAGTCTAGTTATACAAATCAGTATCCCAGAACACCCAAACCATTCAAGAAATGATTAAAAACTTGTATGAAAACAGGTGGAATACGCATATATTCTAATTACAAAGCCTGATTATAAGGTTTTCTCTGCTAACCTTAGTTTATAACAAAAACAAAAAGGGTAAAAGGCAGCTAGAAAACCACTAATTGGAAAATATTAGGTTAACTAACTTTTTTTTTTTTAAGATTTTATTTATTTATTTGACAGAGACACAGCGAGAGAGGGAACACAAGCGGGGGTGGGGGGGTGGGAGAGGGAGAAGCAGGCTTCCCGCGGAGCAGGGAGCCTGATGCGGGGCTCGATCCCAGGACCCCAGAATCATGACCTGAGCCGAAGGCAGACGCTTAACGACTGAGCCACCCAGGCGCCCCGGTTAACTAACATCTTAACACAAGAGTAAAACCCTAAGCATTTTGAACTGTGCCACACTAAAAAGCTGTATTCAGCCTATTGAAAAATGTATGCCCTACCTCAAAACCTTGCATCAGAATTCTTTAAAAAATTCACTCAGGCAGAATGCTTCATTTAGAGTTGAGAAGTCAGGTTTTAAGTTTCCACATTTCTGGCTAGAATACAGAACTGTTTCAATCGGAGAAAAGTAGGATAGAAAAAAATTTAAATTTGAGGTAAAGTACAAAAACACTATTTAAAATGCTAGAGTGGGTTTTGGTTCTAAAAAGAATCCTGAACTGACAGTAACCTTGATACCAGGAAACTTAAATGACCTAAGCTCTTTTTTATTTTGGCACTGTTGTTTAGGGTACAGTGTCTGTTTATAGCTAACTGTTACCTTAGCAACAGGCTATAGGAAGAGCTTCTATCCAGGGGCGTCTGGGTGGCTCAGTTAGGCATCCAACTCTTGGTTTCAGCTCAGGTCATGATCTCATGGGTTTGTGGGATCAAGCCCCATGCTCAGCAGGGAGTCTGCTTGAAGATTCTCTCCCACTCTTTCTGGTAAATAAATCTTTAAGAAAGGAAAAAAAAAAAAAAAGGAAGAGCTTCTACCCAGTGTTACAATTATTCCTGACCCAATGACAAGGTCCATAGTCCAGTGTTAAGGTATAATCTGGAATGTTAGCACTTGCTGTTACTTTAGTACAGTTACAATTAATGGAATTTCAAACAATGTTTACATTCTTCTTTACAACCAAGTAAACAGCAGGCTGAAAAATGAAACTCAGCCAGGTTGAGGCATAAGCTCCAGGCAACAAGACAAATTAAATTGGTCTATCTACAAAAACTGGGAAATTTTTTTAATACTCTTAAAAAAAAAAAGAGTAGCTTCTTTTGACAGTCCAAGAGGTACAAAGTATTTGGAAAATATCCCTATAATTTCACCCCCAAGAAAAACATACCAATCACTGGAACACAAATTTAAGAAGCTATTCACTAGTATACTTAATAGTGGGGCTTTAAGACTGAGAATGTCAGTGAAAAATAATCTTGCCCTTGCTTTTTTTGTCTTTAGATTGCATACAACATAGTTGGAAAACGTCTCAGTTAGGTATATAGAAACTCCCAATTCTGTACACCTATACCTACAATTTTCAAATTATCAAAGGAAGAAAGAGGCAAGCCAAATGGACTGGTAGAAATCCTCTTACAAAGATTATAGCCTGCATTATAGCCTATACCTTGAGTACTTGAAGTAGTAATACAGAAAGTACAGATGATTCTGAATCTAAAGCAATCCACTGATGAACCCTTCTTACAAAATTAATATATTTCCTTATAGAATGTACATGCCTCATCGAGAAATAAAGGACTTTCTGGATGATTAGGCTCTTGCTTGGATTTCTAAAGTAAATGATCATACTTAAAAATGTATTTAGGTTGAGCCATAGGAAACTAACTGCCACTTTCCTGGGTCAAAAATGGTGAACTACTGGCAATTTCGTATGGCTCAACAAAATTGACCTATTTTCAACCAACAGTTGAGTGCAACTTCAAATTACTACTCACTTGCCAAAGTTTAACTATTACAGAGTGATTGTTGCTTTATTGCA